AGCAGAGACGATGTCCTGGCATAGACCAGAGGGGACCCAGGAAGCAAGAAAGGAAAAAAGATATATATATATATAAAGTTATATATATTATTTTAAAACATACAGTATGTAATAGGAAGAAACCAAAGTATAATTACTATATATAATTACTATAAGGATATTATGAATAGCCTTACATTTGTACAGGACTTAGAGTATACAAAGTCCTTTCTGTGTGCCAAATCCTGGCCAATGAGGAAGCCAGCTTATGACTTCTCATCTTGTCCCCACTGCTTAGAGACATGTGACCTTGGTTAAAAGTCAGTTAGACTCTTTTTGCATCTGTTTTCTGTTCTTTAGAATAGGACTGGTCATCTGTGTCTGGCCACCCCCTCTGGAAGGGTGGTGGTGAGGCATCCATTCCCTGTCTCTGTGGGTCTTTCTTGGTTCTGTAAATGGCAGCCCAAGAATTGAATTTAGCCTCCCACCAAATTTTACTCTACTGCCACAGGGAGTTAAATATATTCTGTCTTAATTCATTGACAGTATTTGAAAACCAAGAACTATTGCATCTATATCTGGACATTGGGCTTCTTTTGAAAAATTGGGCAAAACAGGCAGGGCTGGACCCCTATCTGGTCATTGCGACTTGGCTTCAAGCCGGTGCCAGTGACGCCCTGTGGTTGGGCCTGCTCGCCCCACCATCCTTCCCTAAATCCCCCGGCTACCAGCTCAGTTCATTTGTGTTACTTCCCTGGCCGGTGGAGATTTTGTTTGCGGTCCTCGTCTACATCACCAGCATATTTTATTGCAATGGTCTTTCCATGGTCTCCTGTCTGTGAGGCAGAGAATGTATCCTGTTCACCCCTGGGTCTCCAGCCCTGAGCACTGTGCTTGGCACACAGCAGGTGCTCAGAAAGTGTTTGCTGAAGTGACCCTGACACGGCAGTATGTGAGAACGACGAGAAGGGAGAGAGGCAAACGGAAGGGAGGGTGCGAGGGAAGAGTCTCCGAGTTGGGCCCACATCAGCGATGTGCATGCGTGCAGGGGTCCATGTCGGGAGAGACAGGCCTTTGTAAAAAAGAAGCTTTCAGGGGTGGTGTCGCTGGACATGTGACCCAGAATAAGTTACTGGGCCCTTCTGGGCCTGTTTCCCCATCTCTGTAAGATGGAGATGACACGTGTCCATCTCACCAGGATGTGGCAGGCAGGTTTGAATGAGAGACGTGTGGCAAGTGCCTGGCACGGGATTGCCCGATGCTTCACACTTTCTGCGTTAGTGTCCTACAGCCGCCGGGACAAACCTGGGGACTTAAAACAATGGAAAGTTCTTCTCCCACAGCTCTGGAGGCCAGAAGTCTGAAGTCAAGCAGTCTGCAGGGCCACACTCCCCTGGGGCTCTGGGACAGGATCTGCTCTGTGCCTCTTCTGGCTTCTGGTGGCTCCGGGCACTCCTTGTCGTGGGGCTCCCCCACTCCTGTCTCTGCCTCCACCCTGACCTGTGTCCTTATTGCTCTTCTGTCTCTTGGAATGGCACTTGCCCTTGATTTGGGGCCCATTTCATAATCCAGGATGATCTTTCCCTAATTTAACTACATCTGCATGGCGCCTTTTCTAAATAAGGTCACATTCACAGCATATCTTTTGGAGAGGGCTACCATTCAACCCGCTGTAATACCTGATGTTTATTGAGTGCTTTCTATAAACCAGAACTTTACATGTGTTATTTAATCACTCGATTAAACTAAATCTTGGAGGAGAGAGTCCTGGGTAGTGCTCCCCTGGGGTCCTGATGCTGCTTTCCCAGGGGTTGAAGGCAGCGCACGGCCACAGGGCTCCATGATTAGTGACCCGAGGAAGTGGGTTGATGCACATAATTTCTAGATTTTCTGCATTCCCTCCTTGGCTCTCTCCATGTGCAGGATTCTTTCCCTTCTCTGCAAAATGTCTGTGGTGGACACCAGTGTGCTTGTCCAGATCCTCCATCCAGGAAGGACTTGGCATCTCAGGTGGTGGGATTGTTGTCTTCAAACAACCTTCAGCCATCAACCCCTTTGGGTCGGCCTCAGTGTAGAGTACCCCCCTGTTGGGGATCACCTCTCCTTGTGTGGACTGCATCCCCTGTGTGATGGAAAGAGCAATACAAAGAATCTGGCCATATCAGCCTAATATGGGATAAATTACGTTGGTCATTTTAACTCCAGTATAGCCTCTAGGGTCAGGAGAGGCTTTGTGGGGCCCCCATTGCAATGTCACTTCTCCCTCGGCCCAGTCCTACCTCCTCCTCCCTTCCACATGTGTGGAGCCCAAGGGCACCACTTAGTAAGAAGCCTGCACCCTAACCTCCAAATCAGAGTCTGCTTCCCAGAGCCCCAACCTGCACCAATGTCGAAGGATCATCTGTTCTTCAGATCATGCAATTATACATGAAATCGAAGTTTTACTCCAACTAACTTTGTGTTTATATGTAAGGATTCAGGTTCCCATAGGTGGCAATAAATGATGTTGCCTTGAGGTTTTAATTCATATTTAAAATTTTTTGAAGATCTCTTTGTGGCTTTGAAGTTTTTCATTTTCCTAAGACTCAGAACATGCAAATGAATCTAAAGCAATCCTAAAACTCTGAAATACTCTGCAGGTACCTACCTGGCAGAAGGAGCACCAGTTTAATAGTTGCTGGAAGCTTGCTTGGTTGAAAATAGTGTTTTGAGGTTTCAAGTGGATTCCTATCTGTCTTTGAATTTTTAATGAAGTAATTTGATGAAATACATCAGATATTTAGCATCATCTACAAGCAAGAAATCAAAAAAGAATATAAGACAAAGGAGACAGGTTATTTTACCAGTTGAGAGAATAGGCTTTTGGAATAATGCAGATGTGGGTTTAAGTCTTTTCTCTGCCTCTTGCTATCACTGAACTCTGTACCTCAATCTCCCCATCTAGTAAATGGGAGCAATAATGACATTGACCTCATAGAGCCCTTGTGAAAGTTAAATAAGATTTTTCTACATAAAATATTTATAATAGTAAGCATGATAAATGTTATTCATTATTAGTTACCACCTGAGGCAAAGCATATAAACAACACACACACCCTAAACAAATTTTAGGTGCTTTGAGTCATTGCTTACAGAAAACTCATGAGAATTCGTCCAAACTTATTTTAAAAGGATCCCCGGGCTTATTTCTTATTAGAGAAGGCTATTGAATTTCTAATACTGAAGGTGACCAGGGAATAAAGACCTGAAGACAGTGTGGGTGTGAGTCATGTGGATCTCCAGGGAAGAGCATTTCAAGCTGAGGGAACAGCCAGTGCAAAGTTCTGGAAGAACAGGTACCCTGTATCTGAGGACCAGCTGAGAGGTCAATGTGACTGGAGGGGTGTGAGCAGGACAGATGAGATCAGAGAGATGAGGGGGTGGGGCAGGTTTTGTAGGACCTAATAGGTCTTTGTGAAGATTGGTTTTTTGTTTGTTTGTTTGTTTGTTTGAGAGAGAGAGAGAGAGAGCACACATGCAACCAGGGGGTAGGGGCCGAGGGGAGAGAGAATCTTAAGCAGACTCCATGCTCAGTATGGAGCCCAGCTGGGGCTCCATCTCATGACCCCCCTCAGATCATGACCTGAACCAAAATCAAGAGTCAGACACTTAACTGACTGAGCCACCCAGGCACCCCTGAAGATTGGCTTTTGATTTGCTGATTTGGGAAGCTATTGCAAGTCTGGAGCCAAGGACTGACAGGCCACATGGCCCAATTTCTGTGTTAAAAGGATGCCCCTGACGGCTGTGTTAGGAATGGAGTACAGGCAGGCAAGACAGGAGAGGCAGGGACACTGCCCTGAGGAGGCTCGGGCAGCCTCCCCAGCCAACAATGGCCATTTACATCAGGGCAGTCACTGTGGGGATGGAGCATGCTTACCATCTGCTGTGTTTGGAATCCTGAATGGACAGAATTTGGTACTGTCTTGAGAGAAAGAGAAGAGTCAAGGATAACTCGAAGTGTTTTGTCCTGAGCAAGTGGGGGAGAAAGTTTCCTTTAACTGAGATAAAGACGTAAGAGGAGGCAGGCTCGAGAAGGACTCAGAAGTGTTCATGTTGGGACCTGTGAAATGTGAGGTAGCTGTTAAACATCCACATGAAAATGTTGAGGTGGCTGTGAGGGAGAAAAGTCTGGAGTCAGTGAGCAGTCTGGGCTAGAAAGATAAATTTGGGAGTCATCAGGCTATATAGTTGGTGTTCCAAACTACGAAACTGGATGAAATTCCTGGGGGAGGGGGGTGGCTAAAAGGACAGAGCTTGGAGCCACTCCAGTGTTCAGGGGTCAGACAGATCAAAAAACAAAAAACAAACAAACAAACAAAAAAAACCCAGCACAGGATATGGAGAAGGAGCTGCCAATGAAGGCCAAGGAAAGCCAAGAGAGGCTAGAAACCAGGTGAAGGCATGTGAACAGGGCTTTGATGGTTGAACAGGAGTTCGCTAGGCCAGGGCTCCTCCAAGCGTGGTCACAGACTAATAGCATCAGCATCAGCATCAGGATCAGCATCTGGAAACCTGATAAGAATGTGCAGAATTTCTGGGCCCCAACCCACTTCTACCAGATCCAAAACTCTGGGGCCCTCCAGGGGGTTCTGAAGCACCCTCAAGTTTGAGAATCACTGCCCTCTGCACAAAATTGCCTGCACAAAATTGTAAAGATCATTAGGAAGAAGAAGAAGAAAATCCCGACCATGTCCTTAGGTGGAAGAGAATATTTTTAAAGACCCACTTAGTGTTCGAAGCACTCACAGTAACCCCCTCCCTGACATCACCCCCCCGACATGTTAATTTAGAAAACTACTAATTTATCATGGCTCTTTGGAGAGGAGGAATGCCCCCCTTTTACCGGACAGAGGGAATGCTGAGCACCAGGCATGCCAGACATTCCACTGCTACAAAAATGGGGGTGGTATTCCAGGCTTAGCATTACTGGGTCATGAACGCGCTACTCCTGAGATATAAAGCTTATGTCACCAGTTTCCAAGTTCTCTTCTAGGTTTTCCTAGGAGAATTCCACCCTTTTCCATTCTGGGGAGAAGAAGTTAAAATTAGGGCCAGCCCTGCTGTACTGGTGTGCCAGATGCAGGGAAGCTGTCCCCAGAAATAAGCTGGTTCCCACCGCGGATGGGCGGGGCGGGGCGCCTCCAGTCCCGGCCCATCGGAGGGGCTGCTCAAAGGCCTGCCCCCTCCAAGTGTCTGCAAGGGGTCTGGTCCCAAGCTTTAAAACCCTGAGCCGAGGCGCTGCATCCCCACCTCTCCTCTCCCGGCCAGTCCTAGCTGGTTTTTCAAAAGTGTGCAATTGTCTCCTTCCCGCCCAGCCCCAATCCTCGCCCGGGACCAGCTGTGCGCCAGGCCGGCTTCACTCAGGACGCGATCTGACCCGCGGCTGACCGAGCGGCGTGCACCAGTCAAGCACCCCAGCTTTCCGCTCGGCTTCCCGAGCCGCTCCGCAAAGTTGGGCAGCTCCAAGCGCACGCTCAGCCTCTCGACTTCTCCCTCCCCGGGTCCCCGGCGCCCCCGCTCCGGTTTACCGGAGCAGCCGGTCCCAGCGGGCTGGCAGCTCGCACCCCTTTCCGGTCGTCCTTCCTCCCCGAAGCGCGACCATGCTGCTAAGGGGCGTCCTCCTGGCAATGCAAGGTAAGTGCAAAGACCAGGGGGACCCCCGGGGGGCGCCCTCGTGACCCGCTCCCGCAGCCCCGGTGGCCGGGCTCGCTGTCCTGGACCGGGCCATCCGAGGGCGCCTCCGGATCCTTTTCGACAGCCATACCCCACCTCCCGAGCCTGGGGTGGCGATGGGGGGGTGGTGGACGAAGGACTGTGCCTTGGAAGCGCCGGGGGCGGGGGAGGGGGTAGTAGTGCACCCCTCTTCCGCCCCTCCTGCGTGCATGCCCCTCACTTTCACCTGGTCCTCCCGGGGCGCCCCGAGTTGGTGCAGACGCTCCCAGCCCTAGCCCGAGCTGAAATTCGTTTTGTGCTCGCAGCCCTGCAGCTTGCGAGCGCCCTGGACCTGCCCGCCGGGTCCTGCGCCTTTGAAGAAAACACCTGTGGCTTTGACTCGGCGTTCGCGTTCCAGCCCTGGATTTTAAACGAGGAAGGTAAGGGGGCTCCAGAGCACAGGGGCCCCGAGGTGAACTTTCCTCCTTGCTGGTTGGCCTTTTCTCAAGGGCAATGTTATCTTGGAGTTAAATCCCCTCGGGAGGAAAATTGTGAGTCATGGATCCTCCTTCCAACCCTCTGCTGTGCTGCACGCAAGAAGACGTGGGGGCGGGGGTGTCCTTTGTTTACCTGGAACTTCGGCGGGGGCGTGGCGAAGCTCTGAGATTTTCTGCCTCTCCCCCCAGCACATCCTAACGGCAGGGAGAAAGGGGGTGCCGCAAATGATGGTCACCCCCCAGCTGCGTGCCCTCTGCGCGTCCTCAGCCCCTCTGGTCCTCCGTAGACACCTTTAGGGGCCGGGAAAGTCGCAGTGGAGCTAGTTCTCTCCCCGCACTGCAGAAAGGGTTCCCTCATTCCGCCAAGCGACCTGAGTGCTAAGCTCTCATGTTTATGTTGTGCCTCAGTGTGTGGTTGTGTGACTTCATCCTCATACTGCGAATGTATCTGTCAGCCAGCACTTGGCGAAAAGCAGACCAAGTCCGTGACTGTGCTTGAGGTCGCTGGGCCGGCGGGCGTTGGTCACTGTCTCACCACTACATACTGTTGGGGTTCTGGTGACAGTTTAAATGTGGGTCTTTAGATGTTTCTTTTTATCCTTCATTATATGGTAACAACAACAACAACAAAACAAGCAGTTCTCAGTGCCCAATTGCAGGCCCCGAGGGGCCCCCTCTCCTTTCCTTTCCTCCACTGTTTTTAGAAGCTTGGTGCCCCAGGCCATTTGGGGAATAGCCTCCTTTTAAAAACGCTGTAGCATCAAGGAGCTCGGCTGACCTCCTTCCCCTCTGAGCTGTCCTCAGTCCCCAAGGCAGCCCAGCTGGCTCCCTGGAGGAGGGTGGAGCCCGGAACCCCTGCTCTGTTGGGCTGCATATGCATTAGCTTCTCCGCCCCTCACACGTGGGTGATGTTAGCCCCATTTGCAAAGGAGGGCATCGCAGTCTCAGAATGTTCCAATGACTGGCCCCTGACACAGTGTCACTCAGCAGCTGGCTCTGAGCTGCCTGGCTAAGGGGAAGCCACGGGCGGGGATGAGCTCAGTAGCAATCTTTATTTATTGCCAACAGTTGCCAGGTCTTGACTACTACAGTTTACTTGGGGATAGCTGGGGGTAAAGCAGTTCCTGATTTATCATCTGAGGGATCCCTACCCTGCTGATGGCCTTAGGAAGGTCCCCGTCATCTCGCCAGCCCACCTTTTCCCTGCTCCCACTGTGGGTGAAGCATTTTGAGATACCACCTGCCACGGACCATGGGACTTGAGCCACTTGGGAGTTACCTGGTGTGCGCATTAAAGACATAGATTGCTGGGCCCGACAGCCTGAGTTTCACGTTCAGTGGGTGTGGGATGAGGCCTGAGAATGCGCATTTCAAACCAGTTCCCAGGTGTTGCTGCTGGTCTGGAGACCATGCTTTGAGAACCACTGACCACAGTAGGCTTGTTCACAAACACATACACACACACACACACACACACACTCACACACACACATCCCCCAGTGCTAGGGGCCCTGAGCAGGGCTGGGACTGGGAAGAAAGAGCCAGTTGCATGACCCTGAGAGTGAAAACCTCCTTAAATATTGTTCCCTGGACACCTCTCCTGCCTCACCCTGGTCCTGGCCCCAAGGAAAGGAAATCAACATCACCTCTTAATCCAGGAGCCTCAGTCTCTGAGCCCCCGCCCCCAGCACGGTGGCCGCTCTCAGCCTGCTCTGGGGTCAGGAGACCGTGCCACAGCCTGCCAAGCTCCACCTTCCAGAGCCACAGGAGGTGCTGAGCCGCCCCTCTGCCCCAGAGTGGCAGTTAACCAGTGCCCCTTCTGGGAAAACAGGAAGATGATTATAGGAAAAGGTGATTATGGCTTAATATTATAATGGGAGCATTATTGCTTTCCTTTTTGCTTGCTTTCTAACTTCTAACGGCCACTGCTTTCTGGCTCGGGATCAGGACTACTGGCTTGGCTGGGCAAAGTTAATTCATTCTCCTCTGAGCACTCCCGGCAGAAAAGGCAGGGTAGGTCTCCGTCTCTCCAGTACAGTGTTTTTCAAAGGCCAGAACTTGGACATAACCAAGTGCACTCCAGAGGGGCAGTGAGGTGTGTACCAGTTGCTATGGTTGCCTGCTGAGAGGCCAACACAAAGAATTTCCATTATAAACCCATTTCTAAGTTGCTAAATTAAAAGATGATAAAATCATCACAAGTGGCAGACAGTTTGGCCAGTTGTTCCCAAGCCTCTCTACAAATTTCCTTCATCTTGCTGCAGAAACATTCTGAAACTGGTTCCATCCACCTCCGTGTGTCTGATCCACCATAGAAAGTTGTAGGTTTCAGAGACTTTTGCTCACAAGTGTTTGGAAGACAAATGTCACTTTCTATATGTCCTTGATTATTAGGTTAACACGCCGTGGAGAGAACAATGCTATAGTGGTGCAGGGACTTAAGTAGGGAAACAAATCTGCAAATTAGAATTGCATCACAGGAAAAATCAAATCTGGGGGTAGTTACATAAGTCCCCTTCTTGAAATGTCTCCTCAGATGCCCCAAATTGTATTTGAGGTCCACTTCTTTCGTTTATTTAGAGTATTAGGTCTCTTAAGAATCTCTGATTGCAATTCCGGTGTCTCTAGTTCATAGCCATCTTGAAATACGCTTGATCTCCGCTGGGCACAGGTGGCTGAGTTTCACTGGTGGTGTTTGTTTGGTTGTGTAACACAATGGAGGATACCCCCAGAAACAGGCGGTGACACCTGTGCAGATGACTGGGTGCAGCAACCCAGAATCTTCTACTTTCTAGATTTGCCAACAGTGGCCCGACTGCATATTTTTATCTCCTCTGCTTTGTCAGGGGAAGTGAGATTATGTTAGATTCAAATTTGAATTCGCTTCTAAATTTTAGGTTTGAATTAAATCCAGGAAACAACAGATCCATTGAATCCTATAAAAATCTTCTTTATTCCTTCATTCATCCTCAAAAAAAAAAAAAAAAAAAAAACCTTGTTTATTCCTTCACAGTTCGGAGGCTATGGGAAGCTCTTTGGACAGTGGTCCTCAGGTGAAATCGAGACTTTTGGTTCCATTTTCCCCAATGCCAGATGTGGGGGCAGAAGCCCTTGGGCTGAGGATTCTTGGAGCCCATTAAGTTGGCCTTACATTGGAAGAGTCACAATCAGATGAGTCATCGGGTGAATTTTGGCTTTACTTTAAGTTTTGGACACCTTGACTTAACACCTTTAACCTGACTCTATAAGGAAGCCGTTGGAGGAACTGAGGAAGGGAGAGGTAAAAACTCAGTGTAGGTACTGCTCCTTAATTGGAAACTTGGCATACTAAAGCCCCCTGGAAGAGGAAGGTAAATACAGAAATGTGTCCGGTGAATGGGAATGAAACAAGGAAATTCACAGCACTTGTTGTAGGGAATGCGGTTTTTGTACAATGGTGGGGGCTGGGGTTTGAGAAATTGCCTAATACGGAAGAGTCCGGACGGTATTTGTACCTCGGAGGGAGTGATGCTATCTGAGGCAGGAAGGCTGGCTACGAGGTTTGGCACAATGAGGGGGTAAAGTGGGGGATGCAGTGGAGTGTGCTGAAATCACATGCCTATGTCTTTCTGACACCCCCTTTCTTTACCCAAACCCGTTCTTTCTCTCTTAACAACACTTTCGGTTACTTGGCCACACCTGAGTTTTGGTTCTGTGCTCTGTCATTAAACTGGTATTTCAGCTAGAGCCAAAAGTCTGGCTGGGATCCCAAGTGGCCTTCCTGGAAGAGGGGGAACAGTCCTCCCTTCTTGTGAATTATAGCTCCTTTCCAGACTCTGGGGGATTGTCTCAGCATCCCACCCTGACATCACAAGTTCATCAGATGGTTCCCACCCCCATGGGCCTCTGCAGGTTGGTCTCCCAGGGCTCTCTAAGGAGAAACACACCCACGTGTTGTGTAGAGACTGGAGAGCAGCGTGAGTCTAGGGTGTTCCTTGGATGTCTCCTGGAGAGACACTCAACCCCAGCAAATGGCTCAAGATACTCCTGCAGTATCCCACGCCACTCCCGGGGGCCTGAGCCCAGTTTGGTACTGCCCTGGCCCTGCCTGGGATCCTAGATCCTAGAACTGGGCTTTGGAAGTCGTCCCGGGCAACCTCAGGTCCTGGACCCTGAAGCTTTGGTGTATTGATTATAAGATGTTAGAAAGTCTTCATCAGAGAATTAATTATATTTCATACATATGGAAGAACATGAGTTCCAAAGGTATAGTGCTTGGGCCTACCAAACCCACAGGCCGCTACATTTTATGCCGTACTGCGTATTGCTTCACTCTTTCAGATGTGTAGATATCCTACTTGCCTGTCATCTTCAGCATATAGAAAAGGGCCTGGCACATAGTAGATGCTCAGTAAATCTTTGTTAAATGGATGAGTTTGCTGTATGAATAAATCTAGTATTGGATGATTCAAAAGTCCTTATGCATTTTCATTTGTGCTCCTGGTTCATTCTTCCCCTTCAAAGGTAATTATCTGTCTGACTGATGGCATAAAGTCTTTAGGAGACCCCTAGCCAAATGGATCACTCATCCCCTAAGCTCTTGGGCAGGGCCCTACCCCTTGGCCTCCCTGTCAATCAGTCTGGGTTCTTGGGTTCTCTTACCTGGCCCCTCCATTTGGGATTTAACCTCCACGGACTGGTTATATCTGCCTGCTTCTCCCTCCCTTGATTGACTTCCTTGGACGTAGGCTCTGTCTAGCCAACCCCCTTCCTATCAAGGCCAATACCCCATCTGGGTTTTTCCTTACTCACAGTAGAGTTACCCAATGGGAAGTGGCTACCCAGCTCCTGCCCTCATCCCGCACAAGGCACCTAAGGATTTTTAGGATGCTTCCCTTCTCATAATTGTACAAGTCAGCTGTGGTCACCATAGGCTGGAAGAAAAAAATAATTCCTTGTTATAG